ATATCTTCTTGTAGAGTAACTTAAGCATGTATAGGTTTTAAACTACTAATTAAATTGCGTACACACATTAACATAATAGGAATACAGTTACATAACCAAAGCAGACCTATAATTACCAGCCATGTCCAGTGAAACCAAGAAAACCAGTTAGGCACCCTAGGCATTTGTGAAAACTTGTCTATGATATGGTGGATATTGTCAAACTGAACTTGAACAGTCTGAGAGAAATCAGACAAATTAAAACAACCCATTCCTGGGGACTGTTCACATCCCATATGTTCTTTTAACAGTAGATAGTCTGCTTGTACCAGTTTTAATACATTGTAATTTTCAAGAAATTTGTCCATTTAAGCTAGGTCATCAATTGTTGGTATAAACTTGTTCACAGTATCATTTTCCTTTTTAATGTCTGTAGCCATTCTAGTGATAAGTCCACTTTTGTATGTGACATTTGTAACTTGTAATTCCCTTATCTTTCTTTGTGTTCTTTTGTTAAAGTATAGCTGTTGACCTTTTCAAAAAGCCAGCTTTTGGCTTAATTTTCTCTATTGTTTGCTTGTTCTCTCTTGAATTCTGCTCTTCTTTTCTTCCTTCTACTTATTTTGGGTTATTTTGCTCTTCTTTTACTTGCTTCTTAAGATAGAACTGTGAGTCCTTGATTTTAGACTTTGTATCCTAACATGAGCATTGAAGCTGTGAATTTCTCTTTAAGTGATATTGTAGCTGCATCCTGCAAGTTTTGCTGTGTTTTGTTTCACTGTTATTCAGTTTAAAATCTTTTCTGATTTCCCTCATGATTTCTTCTTTGACTATGGATTATTTAGAAGTGTGTTGTTTCAAACATTGGAAATTTCCTGGTGATCTTATTGTTATTGATTTCTAATTTACCTACATTTTGGTCAGAAAATAAACTATAGGATTTCAATCACTTAAATGTAATGGGACTTGTATGATGGCCCAGAGTCATATTATGGTTTATATTGGTGAACCTATTACATATACTTGAAAAGAATGTGGAGTTTGCAGTTGTTGGCACGGTGTTCTGTATCTGTCAAGACAAGGTGTTTGATAATAATGTTCATACATCTTTACTGAATTTTTTTAAATCTAGTTCTATCAGTTGATGCTAGGATGGTATTTAAATCTCCAACTATTATCATGAAATTGTCTATTTTTCCCTATAATTCTGTTAAATTTTGCTTCATGTATTTTAAAGCTGTTACTATGATTACTATGTCTCTGTGATGAATTGACCCTTTTATCATTACAAAATATCCCTATTTATCTCTGTTAATGCTGATGTTAATACTAAAGTCTATTTTATCTGACATTAATATCCTCACTCTATCCTTCTAATGCTCATTGTTTGTATGTTACATATTTTTCCCTATTCATTTACTTTCAACCTATCCATATCTTTATATTTAAAGTTCACCTCTTATAAGCAGAATATAGTTGAGTCTTGCTTCTTACACAGTCTAATAATATCTACCTTTCAATTGGGGGTGCTTAGTCTATGAACACTTGAACTGTTTATTAAAATGGTTAGAAAACAGGTCTACCATTTCACATTTCTGTTTGCTCCTTATTTTGTTTTATGTGTGTGTTTCACCCTTCTGTTCCATTGTTGCTCCTTTTGAATAATTCCAATATTTTTAAAAATTAAAAATTCATATAAATTTTTTTATTATTAACCTTTTAGCTATATCTCTTTGCATTATTTTGTTATTAGTTGCTTTAGGGATTACAAGGCACATCCCTAACTTCTCACAGCCTGATTAGGGCTAATCATGTTAACACTTCGGAGACCTGTAGAAACTGTATTGTGCTCCCTGTTATTTATGCTACAGGTTCATACATATATTATCTACTGCATTATAAGTCCCACAGAAAAATATTATTTTTGCTTTCAGTATCCCTATATGTTTTTAAAGAAAAATTTTTAAATAAACCTTCATATTTGTCTAGATATTTACATTCTGATACTCTCCATTTCCTCCTGAAGTTCTGAGTTTCCATTTAACCTGAACAACTTCCTTTAGCATTTCTGGCCATGCAGGTCTCCTGGGCAGTATGTTTTCTTAGTTTTGTTTTCTTAGTTTTATTTTATTGGTGAAACATTTTTTGTTTTGCTTTCCTTCTTAAAGAATATTTTTCAAAAATACAGATTTCTGAGATGACAGTTCTTTTTTTTCTTCTAGCATTTTAAAGATATTGCTCTACTACCTTAGGGTCTTTATAGTTGCTAATGAAAAGTCCACAATCACCATAATGTATTGTTTTTTTCTCTATCTACTTTCAAGAGTTTCACTTTGTCTTTGGTTTTCAGCAGTTTGACTTTCTTAGGCCCAGGAGTAGTTTTCCTTGTATTTATCCAACTTGAGATTCAATAAGCCTCTTGAATCTCAGTCTGTGGCAAAGTTTGAGGAATTTCCTGTTATTGCTTCTCCTCTTCCTCCTCTTGTTCTCCCTTCCCCTCCTCCCTCTTCTTCTTTATCTTCTTTTTCTTTTCTTTTTTAATTGCATTCTCTCTTCTCCATCCTGGGACTCCAATTACAGGTGTGTTAGACCTTCTGATATTGTCCCACAAATTTACAAATTTCTGCTTACTTTTTTAAAAGTATTTTTCTTTCTCCTCTTATGACTGGATAATTTCTATTGAACTATCTACAAATTTACAAACGTTCTCTTCTATTATTCCCATTCTGTTGAGCCCAACCAGTGAATTTTTAATTTAATAAAAACATACATTTTCATGTAGTTCCTTTTATGGTTTTTATTTCTGCACTGATATTTCTTATCTTTTCATTCATTGTGAACATATTTTCATTTATATCCTATAGCACAGTCATGATAGTGACTATAAACTCTGTTAACTGCTTATTTCAACATCTGGGTCACCTTGGTCTCTACTGACTGTCTTTTCTCTTAAGAATGGTCACATTTTTGGTTCTTCAAATGCCAAAAATTTTTGGATTGTATCCTAGACATTGTAAACATAATGTTGTAGAGCTCTGGAATTTGTAATATTTCTTTATAAAGAATATATATATTGCTATTTTATGGGACAATTATCTTGACTTTATTCAAACTGCAAACTCTAATTCTTGAGAGGTAACTCAAATCTCAAATAAATTATTTTAGTCTTGGCTGAAATCCATCTTGTTAATGAATGGTTCAGGGGTCAGTCAGAAACTTGGGAGGAATTTACACAGAGAATTAGGAATTTTCTCTTTCTTAATTTCCTTCTTCCTGAATTCCTCACTCACTTTCCAAAATTTGTGGTTTTCCCAAGCTCTGCCTCTTGTTCTTCAGGTCAGAAAGACTCTATATTTTCTACAGGAATTTTAGCCACACCACATGGCACCAACTTTAGCCTGACCTCTGGCTAAAAGCCATAAAAACATGTGACACACTATACTGATCCCTTTGCTAAGCATTAACTCCTCTTCATTATCTTCCTGCTCATGTTTACTCCTCAGTGCCTTCATATAACTATTTGGATGGGGTAGGCTTTTCTGGGTTTTTGTTTGTTTTTGTATTTTGCCTACAGTCTGTAGTTGTTATCTGCGGGAGGGTTGGGTCCTATGGGAGCTACTGAAACATAAAAGAAGCAGAAATCACTCCTTGTTCTTCAATTATGAGTTTAATATAAAAGGTAATTATGCTGAAATGTACACTGAAATGGTTAAAATGGTAGATCTTATGATAAGTATATTTCACATCAATAAAAAGTTTAATTATATTAGCTTAATATCTAACTTAAGCAAGGGCATTTTAAGTTTAAGTTGAAAAAATGCAATGAGCCTAATATTTCAATAATTTCATATGCAAAAAGAAAATGCTTTTGCAGAAGCACTATGAAATAAAAGGACTATATTGATGGTTTTCTGGAACCACAAAGTACAAAATATAGTATCACTGAGAGAAGGAAGAGAAGAAAAAGGTATTTTAAAGACACACTGAAGGGGCTTGATTCTTCTTCTGGAGAAAGGATTCCACCTACACATCCTAGCCCAGAGCTTCTGCAACTTTAATTGCATATGAATCACCCAAGGGTCTTGTAGTACACAGTCTTAAGAAGATCCTGAGATATTTCACTTATGCATGAAACCTTGTGATTTGTCAATAAATCTGTGACTTTAAAAATCTATTGACTTATTTTAAGTCAATAAACCTATGAATTATATTTTACTTGTGCTTTAATTATCTGCAATGATAGATGATATCAAATATGTAGAGTAGGAGATAAGTAGAGAATGGTGGGTCTCTGTAGGGGTGTTTTGCCTTCATTTCAGATTAAGTGGGCATCTCAAGAAAAGAGTGCCTCTTTAAATGGCAACATTAACAACAACACTCTAAAGCACACAAGACAGAGTGACAACATAGACTAAATTCATGAACACTTTACCCAATTTTTAATAAATATCTCAATGCAAATACACATATACTCTCCTCTGCCATATGCTCCTCTTAGCTAAACTTTAGTGGACCCAAATGTCCTATAGAAGGGATGACAAACCAGTGTTTTTTATGTGGTATTGATAGCAGATACCATTAATTGATCACGACATTCTTCTGCAGTATAGATTCCTGAGCATAGATTCAGAATCTGCTTGAAAGTCAGATTTAGAGTCAGCAGGGAAGTTGATACCTATATACCCTCCCATTTTATGGCCTTTCTGCCACAAGATGGATAGCAGAAAGAATGAGAGCCAGGAATTCTCTCCATTTAGGCAAAAACCTAAATGAAGAATCTAATCAAGAGTTTGGGAAAACCTGCCTAGGTCCATTTTATCTACAATCTTTAAATTACATCCAGCTAATGAGGCCTCTTGTGTACAAAAGTAGAGAGATGGTCTCAGAAAATACTTTCAGTTGCAGAATGCTTTCTTGACACCTTTTAGGAGCAGGGCTTACTGAATACTCCTTTCCTCTGATGACACATATGGTTTGACTTAAACAGTGCCTCACCTGACAGTTAATGCAGACCCCTCCACCTGCATAGATGCCTTGAATATTCAAGCTTGCCTGCTGCCTCTCAACCTCTGGATCATAGTAACAGTCGATGGCATGGCCATGACAGTTGCATGCTGAAAAAAAGCATACTAAGTCAATATTCCATCATTACTATGGGACACTTAAATTCCCACAGAGAGTATTACTGCTCATTGACCTACAATAAAGTCTATTCTACAACATTAGAGACTCTCCTGGTAGAAAATTCAGAGGTTTTTACATAAAGACCAACCTATAACAATATGCAATTTACAGCTTCTTTCATGTGATATTAAAAAAGAGTCACATAATTACAACAAATTAAGATAAATCAAAATGCCAATTGAGCTTCATGTACACACAGAATATTACTATTATTGCTATTATGACTACTAACAGGAATAACTGGGCTCTTGGTACACTATGAGGAGTGTTTTACATGCATTATCTCATTTAATCTGCTCCACGACTTTCTAAGGTAGGTGCTATTATGTCCATAGCCCAGATGGGAGGCTGAGGCTTAGAGAGATTAAGGGATGTGCCCATAGTTAAATAGCACAGAGTGGGTACTCAAGAAAGACTTGTTGAATGCACCTGAATCCATAGAATAACAATATTATGAGCCACAAAAGGATTTCAAAGAGTTTTTAGTAATATAGGGGAAATATCTAAAAATATCCAGTGAAAAAAGATCAGAATATAAAATTGTACATATGGTATAATCTGGAGTATTTAAAGTATGCATGAAAAAAATTTAAAATATCTAACAAAATACTAATAGTAGTTCTCTTTGAATAGTAAAATTGTAGTAATGTACTTCCTATCATTTCCAAGTTATCTACCAGTAATATATAGTACTTCTAAAATTAGAAAATAGAGGTTAAAAGCCATTTAGGATCTTTATTACTGCCAAGATGAAAAAAAATTTAACATAAAAAATTCTTATTCTTTCTTAGGCAGAACATGTATTCATTATATTCCACCTAGATCAAATTTTCCAAATTTTTCCAGGAATTCGTATGTTTCAGTTAAGTTCCCAGGCAAATATATTAGGGAAGAAGACTAAATTGGAAATTAGACAAATTATTCTATTTTTAACAAGATATAATTTTCTTATTTTTAATTTCCCAGCGGTGCCATGATAAAAAAAATTTCAAGGTATTTGTACCCACTGCATTTCTCAAGAAGTCTGTTTATTTTGAACTGCACAAATTCAAACGGAATTTAGAAAAGTACCTAAGGAATGTATCTTAATAGGTCTGAGTTTTCCATATGCTGTTTTTATCATTCTTAACCATTTGGACAAGTTTATAAAGGTTAAAAACTCATAAAAGGAAACTTTTAAAACTGTTTTTGTATGTGCTGGAGTAAAGCATGGCATTCACTGAAGGGCTCCGTTATTCTGGAAAACTAATGAAATTGCTAGTGTTGGGAGTTCATGTAATAGTACTTATTCAATCAATGTATCCTAAACCAGAGCCTGAAAGTCCTCCAAGAAACAGCCCCTGGTTATTTCCTCTCCCTCTTTCAGGTCCCATTATCTGGGGGTGAGGAATGGGGAAGTGGGAGAGGAACCTGTTAGCTATGAATATAAAGTGAGAATGGCAGCAGAGTGACATCCCTGGACCTAGAGACGCATCCGAGCATTTGCCTAGGGCACATCAAACCGTCCAACAAAGTTAGAATCTCTCAAAGCACTCACTGGAAATGCCTCTCAAGTAAGTTTGCTGGTCATAGAGATCATCAGTCTTAGCTCTTAAGAATTACAAAAAATACCTGGCTAAAAGGTATGAAGTACGGATTCTCTTACCTACCCAGGTCAACAAACCTGGATCCAAAACCCTTTTGTTCATTCAAAAAAGCAAATCCATCTTCCAGTGCTAAGAAAATTCAGGAAAAATAGGCCACAGTCTCCAACACCGATAACTAAAAGTTACAAAAAATGTTTGCAACAGTTGGAATAAATATGTGGCCTCCTAAGGTCAGTTTAAAAAGGATCTTCAGTTGGATGTTTTAGGGCTTGCTTGTTAAAAACAATTTTCTTATTTAACATTATACCTATAATGAAAAGCAGCCTCTGGCCTTTTTACCTCCCACTCTGGTCCCCTCCACCCTCCACCCACCTCGTCCTGTGACTGTGTCCCTCCCATGACCCCTGCTTCCTAAGGGAGTCTAGCTCTCTGTTTAATGCCAATCTCACCACCTCCAGACCTCAGTCCTCAAAATTGTTAGGATTCTGATCCAGTATCACGTTCTAAGAAATAGTAAGCGTTTAAAATTTATTAGTGGCTGCATCATATTGCCGATTGCTAAAAAGAGCAGCCAACATGTGGAGGCACTCAGCCCCATCTTGCATACACAGTCAATGATTATTAATGATTCTTGTTATTTTGTTCTCATATCTATATCTGAATTTAGAGTGAGGTGCTGTTACCTCCAGTCTATCAGTTTTTCATTGCAATAGGCAGGCCTGAGTCCCTAAGACTGTCATGATCCACACTCTCCCCAAGCACGGAAAACAGTCTTCAAGGGGAAATGAAGGGAAGCCTTGAGCAGGGCTGAGCCTCTGGCACCCCTCCCCGAGTGCTCACCTTCACACTCATTGCTCTGCTCCCACGTGGCAGGCCGCCAGAGCCTCTGATGATACCCAGCACAACAGTGATCACACGTCTCCCCACAGGTGTGGTGCTGGCATTCACACCGAAACCTGGGCATGTGCACACCTCTGTTAATCAAAATTGGGATTAAAATCACTCGTTCCAGTGTGAAAAACTGACAATCATCACAGTCACCCACCTTACCATTTATTGAGTAATATGGGAACAAAGCATTTTTGCATCTGTTATTTCAAGTCCCTCACCCATTCTGTTATTATCTGCATTTTATAGATTCAGAAATATTAAAACACTTGCCAATGGTCAAACAACAATAAATAGAAAGCCAGATTTCAAACCTGTTTGTCTGACTCCAGACTCCCATCTCTTTCTTCTCTATTACCTTGTATTACAACAAATGAACACTTGAGCAAGCTAGTTCTGAGTTTACTGAAATTTGTTGAGTATCTCTTCTTCACAGAGGTCTGGAGTCATCCTGTGAGAAAGAGCTGCTCAGATTCCTTGCTCTCTACCTGGGGTCAGGCACAGATTCACGGAATCCAAGAGAGTTACTAGCAAGATCTCCGAGGACTCTACTCCAAAAGGCTGTGCTCCAGGAGAAAGCTCCATCACAGGGCCGACAGTTGAGGTTATTCAGCAAGCCGAAGGGAACAGTCTAAAAATCTACATTCAAAGGTGTATACTTCTGCCTTAAAACTTTTCCAAGTTAAAATGAAATTGTAGCCGTGGCATTAGATTAGAACTCCAAGGTCTGAGCTCTCCTTCAACAGTGCTAGAAAGGAGATTCAAAACAGTTGTCTAAGAAAGGTCTCAGCTCTGCCTATGAGGATTCGATTCCCCCTCTTCCAAGGGGAAATGGGATGGCATATGTTCAGCTACACTCCAAAGAGAAGGTGTCACTCCTCTCCCAGCTCAGCTGCCTGTACAGCAAATGGACATATATTTAACTGGCAGCACAGAACAGCTAGAGTCCAAATGGGCTTTCACCAAACAGGGAATTTCAGTTCATTACCAATAAAGTATTTGCACAAGCTGGGTAAAGAATTATTTAGGGATGATTTCTTATAGAACATATGGCTCAAATACTCATATAGGGAGATTAAAATTGAGCATAGCAAAAAAATAGCTGTGTATTTGCCTGAATCATATTGATAACCCCAAATAATTGGTATTTCTGATTCTCTCTGAGCTCAAGCTGATGGCTTCTAGAGAAAACTCATCTTTGCATCTGCTGTAAGGATATTACTGAAGATGCTCAATAAAGAATCCTCTTCATGATGACTGCCCCACCCTGCATCCAAAGAAATTTTTTGTCTGGTCCAAGTGTCAGTGAGTTGGAGAGAAGTTAGTGTAGTGTCCCTTAGGCATCTCTTAAATAATTGATCAGTTTTTAGATTATGATCATAGTGAAATAAGAAACTGAGCTGCTTCTCTTTTTGAGTTGCCTGCTGGGAAGCTCAGAATTAAATTTATGATCCATCCATGTTTCCAGGCACCACAGTCAGCATGGCACACATGATAAAGCCCTCTTCTGCCTCTTTATGGGTTCTGCTTGTCTAACTAACTCTTCTGATTGTCCAGCCTTGATGCCCTCCATTAAGTCTTTGCATCTCCTTAGATATATCAAAAGATTTTTTCCTATTCATGGATGTGGATTTCATCAGCACTGCTGCAGGTCAGCCTATTGGGCAGAAGCAAACCAACAGACAATACTAGGTAAGGCAGTTATGCTGGTATAGAACAGAGGCAAATAGCCTTTGCTGAGGCAAAGAGAGAGTCTCTCTACTCATAACTGCCAGTAGAGAACCCCTCCGGGCATGCCTGCCAAGGTCAACAGGGCTTGGAAGCCCTTCTAAGCAGGAAGCTCAAACCGCCAACGACGTAACTCCTCTCCTACACTACACCAACCTCTCCTCTCCTCTCCCCTCTCTCTCCAACTCAGGATCCCCTGACCTGCCTTCAGGTATCCTAGGGCCCTGTTTTCCAGGAAGCTACATGGCAGCAATAGATTAATAACGAATAAACAAGTCCTTGCTGATTAAAGGCTAGATGGTTGACAGATTCACATCGCACTCTCAGCTAGCACCACCTGATCGCTGAAGGAGACTGACAACATGAGGGGCTGCTGGTGGGGAGAAGGGCTCCACGGTGCACACAAGTGGGTGGCTGGAACCTCCGCCCCAACATGAAGCTAGGCCTAACGATGCACAAACCTGAACCTGATGAAATGGTGCTCACAGAAAATTACAGACTTTCAATAAAACATTGAGAAAAAATTATTACTACATCTAGCCTCCTATAAATTGCAGCCTGTAAAAGTACCCCTCTTGTGGTGGTAACATGAGTATACAACTGCTGAGCACTAAAAATAATAAGGTAAGATCCCTGCACCGTATTGTGTGTACAATATGCCTCAATTAAAAACAAAAATGGATCCACCCAAGTCTGTAGCAGCATTATTCATGATAACCAAAAGGTGGCAGCAACCTATATAACCACCAGTAGATGGAGGGACAGTATATACATAATGAAATACTATTCAACCTTAGAAAGGAAGGGAATCTGACACAGGCTACAACACGGACAAGCCTGAGTTCACCATGCAGTCACAAAAAGACAAATACTGTGTGATTACATGAAGTACTTCGTCAAATTCATTGAGACAGAAAAGTAGAATGGTTGTCACCAGGGGATGGGGGAGGGGGAAATGGGAAGTGGCTTACTGGGCAGAGCGTTTCAGTGTTAGAAGATAAAAAGAATTCTGGAGATGTACTGCACAACAATGTGAACATATTTAACACTGCTGAGCTTAAGCCACTACCACTTAAAAATGCTTAGCTAGTAAACTTTACATCGTGTATTTTACCACAATGAAAAAAAACAGAAAGGATTTGAAAATGTATACCCCTGATCCCATTAGGCCAGGGATGACACACAAGTTTTATTTCTCTTGCCAACTCTAATCAATTATTCATGGCTGCCTGGGGCACCATCTGGGCTTGGGGCGGTGAGGATGGGGGGTGGAGGGCAGTAGGGGGGGGACCTGGTGGCTGCATCCCAGATCAGCCGCAGAGCGCTATGATTGATTAGCCACATCTGCTACAGGCTGCGGGGGACTGTATGTAGGGCTGAAGTTGGGGAGGCACACACCCCACCTCTTTGTTGATAATGAAACATTCCAGTTGAGGGCAGGAACTTAGAAACATGTAATGGGATGCAAATACCCACTGAAGCAATTAGACTTGTTCACAGCAAGGCTTAAAAAATCTGTCCAATGTACTTACAGTTTTTCAGGATTGTTTGCACTGCATACTTCAGCATGGCCATTGCAAACACACCGCCCGCCAATGCTGATGTCCTTTATGCTATAATAATACTGTGCAACAGAACATACAATGTGGCAGTTTTACAAAACAGCAACATAAACTCCTTTACTAATCTTTAACTCATATCTGTATGGACCCTGCGTCCCTCTCACCCTCTCTTCTTGAGCTTACATCAGCACCAAGGGGAGCTGTTTGGATGCAACTTGTCTTACAAAATAAATGTATTCCTCAATCAAATTTAACAGTACACTGCCCAGTGTGTGCACACTTAAAAATCAAATGCTTTAAATGCATGGAGGGAGATTGCCTGGGAAAAGAATCATACTCTACAGCCTTTTGGAAAGGGATGAAGTGCTTGCCAGATTTTTAAAAAATATAAACATTTGTGTTTCATAAATTAAACCTATTTATTTACCCAAAATAAAACGTTTCTATCAAAAATGTTGTATGGCTATGTGCAGGCTCTGAGAAGGAAGAGAACCCTTACTATGATAGATTTAAAAACAGCACTGAGAGTGGGAGGGGCCCCCAGCAGTGGTTAAAGGCTGCCTGGCTCAGAGTTACTAAAGCCAAAGACAGAGTTTCAAGCTCCATAAAGCCAGACAGAAGAAGATTCAGACCTAGGCGATGATCAGCCCTTAAACCAGGCTGCAAATGTTGGTAGGCCATTTCATCGACAAGGTCTTACTTAGCCCAAAGGCATTAACATCCCTCCTATTCATATGAATAAATTCAGAATTAGAGGGCTTGCTGTGACAACTTAACACCCAGAGAGAGAGAGAGAGAGGCACCCCACCTGCCTTCACCCCACAGCACACAGACACAGGGTAGGGTAGCTGCATTCTCTCCCTCCAATTCAAGAAGCAACCTAGATTTGGGGGGTCAAGATGATGTATGTGGTGCATTCCATAAAAAATTATTTAATAGAGAAGACTATAGTCACCTAAATGAAAAGCAACATACATATATATATGAGCACAAATCTTGCAACCTCCAAAAAGATAATTGAAAAAAAAGGGGGGTGAGGTACATTTGTGGTGAGGCTCCAAAACACCTGGAGGAATGCAAACACCACCTGGCTACAGTTTACCAGACAGCCCAGCTCTGCCTTGTAAATTCCATCCTTGGATCCAAAGTATTCTCCACCTACAGCAGCTCCGAGGAGAGGGGTTAGAAAACACAGAAGACAGGCCACCTGCCTCCTAGATGACTGACCTTTCTGGAAAATGCTCAAAACTAGCAAATCTTACCCTTCTCTCTCCTGCTTCCTCTCCCAGCTCTCTGATATTACCTACCCAAGAATCCACCCTCTATAATGTGCTCTGGACGTCTTCCACTCACCCTTGCAGGTCAGTCTCCGGGCCTACCTTTCTCCACGCTACCCTTTGCCCTTGGGCCGAACTTTATGGCTGCAAAAAAGTTCTTTTGCCCTCTGGCTTCTGGTTTTGGGTTTGGCCAGTGGGAGGCATGGGCAGGAGATCAGAGGGTGAGAGAAGAGAGAGCTCACAATATTTATTCTGTTGGCTCCCTCTGTGCCTAGGAGACAGAGGTACTGTCTTGACACTGAGAGTGGGACTTGCTGATCCAATACAGCAGACAGTCCTAGGGTCACCACCACCTACGTCTCCTTCACTCAGGCTCGAATGCATTCTCCAGCCGCCTGCATCCAGGTGGGGCTCCACCACCAGTTCCTGCCCATGGAAGTGACCTGTGTGGCTAGTGGAAGGTGGGGCTTCTCTGTGCTCCCTCTCCCCTCATCTGCTGACCAGGTGAAGGGGTTCCAAGGGAGGACTCAGGTCCTACAGGATAGCTGCCCATCTAGCTAGAAAGAGCCTAGCTCCCTGCATGATGGCATCTAGCTGATCCTGCCTGCTGACCCACAGGAGACTCTGACATAAGCAAAAAATGAACCTTTACTCTCTTAAGCCCTGAGACTTGGGGTTTGTTGGTTATACTAGATTATTGGATATAATAGGTTATTATAACCAGTAAGTTATTGGCTATTATAGCCTAATAACAGGCAGGCTATCATCTTTTGTCTTTCATCTTCTTTGAACATGATTTTTTTTCAACAACCAGCCTTCTAAATTCCATCTAATATTTCAGACAAGAACAACTCGTACACCTACACCATTACTGGCTGTAAAGATTGCTTGAGAGAGTTCAAGGCAATTCATTTGATAAGCAAAAAACGTTACAAAAGCTGCCAACTAGGTACCTCAAAACACCACTCACCCGCCGGGTGACAGTCGGATCTTTCTGCGCCTTGGAAATGAGGTGACCAAGAAGGGTGTTTGTTCGCAGGAAACGCAAGCGGATGTTCGTTGCCTTGGTGAACTCCCTCAAGGTGTGGGAGAAGGTAAAATTTTTTGCACCTGGACGACCATTTATCAAAGACACCACAACCTAAAATAACCACACACACACACAGATGGGAAAAAATTAAAACTGTAACTAAACTAAACAGACTCACATGCCCCAAGCACTTAGCTTCTTTGAGCCTGTCACTTTTGTAGGTGGTCTTGGGTCTTGTTTATGTCTAAAAATGTCATTGCTAGTTTCATCTCCCATCCCCTTCCTAGATCTAAATGTGGGCCATCTGTCCCTGACACCTGCGCTCTCAGGCAATGCTCATTCATTTTCAAATCCTTTGTTCTTTCAGTGCAGTTGTGGGGCTGCAACACTAGGAACTGTTGAAAATACAATGTTAAAATCTCTAAATATAAAGAAACAACTTTTTGTCAAGATGCCTCCAAGAAACTAAGCTAACATTACATTATGAAAATGAGGTTGAAAAAGGAAGCCTCTGCATGTAAAACTGACAGCGAAGGAGACAAAACAATCTATGCAAAACCCAGGCTTTATTGTAAAGCCCTAGGAGATGAAGTCCAAGTCTCACACATCTGAGACATGAACCACTCACCAGTCATTGGAAGATGCTGGACAGAGCTTCTTGGGAAAGGTATCTCTCCCAGCAGAGGAAGACTGACACCCTTTAAAGAAATTCATTTGAAACTCACCTCATGTTCATGATGGCCTCACAATTTCCATGGAATTCTCTGGTTTTCCCCACCTCTGTTTTCCCGTTGTTCTCCCCTAACAATAGTCTGGCTGACTTCACAAGGGCCTGATGTCCAAAGGGACAGCAATCCTTTTCTCCCTTACAGATAATACCCACCCTGCCAAAAAAGGATCAGGGACCAGGACTGCCACCTCCTCCTCATATCCTCACTCTTAGGGGGATAACCAAGCAGTGGGAGGGGTCTTCACCTCAAACACCAGCAGCCCTATTTCTAAATAATCTACCAGAAAGGAGAGTTTAAATCCTGTGAGCCTTAAACCTGGAATTCTGACTTCCTGAGAAGAATTAAAGACCTCAGATAGAATTTCCAATGTCAAATACACCTCGGTTAAAGAAAAAAAAAAAAGAATTTCCAACCCAACTCATTCTGTGCATCTTCAATGTGATTCCTTTACCGTCTAGTCCCAAGCACTGGATTCCATCACGACCTATGTCAGTGATGGATATCTTTGGGTTTATTTCTGAGTCTTATCTCTCACAACCCCCCAAATCTACATACCTCACCATTTTCCAAAGGTACAATCCGGGAATATTCAGTAGTACAAAGTACATCATCATCTCGGGTGAGAGCCGTATTTGCCTCCTGCCCAAATTGTTCCAAACAGTCTATTTTAGAGTCTAGGAAGGAAACATTTTAATATTATAAAATATTAGCATCTTGCTATAAATCTAAGAAACCTTATGATTTTAAGAAAATACATTCTTAAGATAAAAAACATTTTTTAAGGAAGATTCTTTCCCTTCAGCAGGAAAAGAACAGAGAAGCATTTAAGACTTTCAAACCAAAGCCTAGAATGAAGTTTTAGTTCATTCAAATACCAAGTCATTTCAGGCCACTTCTTTCAACAACAAGGTTTGGAGATGTTCTAAATACTCACTCATTAGGCAAGTTTACCCTCTAAGGAACATTCATGGAAAACCCAGTAACCAGGTAAAATCCCTGTCCACCTCAATTCATCATAGGGTCCAGAGACACCAACATTCTCTATTAGTGAAGATGATAGGGTCCAGGGAAGTAATGTGAAATGCAGGATCCCTAAAAATGGAACTAAGTTCCTAATTGTATGTAATGGAAAAACACTAGAGCTATAACCTAGTTATAGGTGCACTGTCTCCCCCAAAATCATGGCAAGAACTGTTACCATAAAAGGTATTTCAACCTCAGTTCTGCATGCATAACCTTGGAATTAAGGATGTTCTGAGGGTAACCTAGAAAGTTAAAAACTGACTGTTCCTAACTAGCCACACTGAGAGACTAATTTTCTACCTAAATACAGTCTTGATCTGTTGCAAATAATCAAAGCCCCTCATAATATGGTAAGCAAGATTACTTACGAGCAAAATATTGCCAAGGTGAGTAGGTGCTTCCAAAGTCTACAGATCTTTCTAAGACCCAAAGATCAGGGCGAGGAGAATTTGCAAATTTGATTAAAACATAGGCCACATGGAAAAGCTAAAGATAAAGAAAAAAGATATAATTATTAAAATTGCCTCATCTATCCACAACCTCAACCATCTCTATATTTTGCTGATTTACAAGGAAACACATCTACCCACACCTTTCAGGAAATCCTATTTCTAACTGCCTATTGGACATCTCTACCTGGGTGTGGCCTCTCAGGCTTATCATGTTCAAAACCAAAATAATCATTCTTCTTTATCCATCAAACCCATACAGTAATCTTCGTCACACCTCAAACATTATACCTTGAATTTCAACCAGCCTACATGGCATCTTAAGCCTGTACATTCAGAAAATCTCGTGTCAAGTAGCAGTCATCATGTGCTGAGTCCTTCTAGGACCAAGAACCAATGGTACAGCCCAGAGTGGCCCCTGGTTCTAGGTCTTGAAGAGCTCGCTGCTGCAGAGCTGAGGGCTGGGCAGCTGCTCGGGAAAGCAGTAGCACCGCCTTCCTCTGCACCATCTCCACTCACCCCCTCTTTTCCTGATTGCATGGCTTCTTATGAATTTTCTTGCTCATCCTCATGTTGCCTGTGGCCAGGACAATGCAAAAGTATGGAGGAGATGAAGAGGGGCTTTGGTCCTGCTTTATCTGCCTACCGCTCTTAAATCCCAATATGCCTCCCAAGGGGGACCTCAGGAGTCCTTGTTGTCTACTGCTACCCCATCCCCCAAAACTTATCTGGCTTGAATTTTGAACTCTGACAGTCTATATATTTCCCAAAGATCCTGGGATGTCAGTGAGCACAGGTGTTAAACTGTTCACATGTTAATGAATGAACATCATCTCCATCCCCATATTCCCTCACCACAAGTTAACAGATTTAACAGTGACTCTGAGAAAAGGACTGCCCCACCTTATTAGCTAGCCCAGTGTGGCCATTGGCACAATGAGTGCATCTAGTTAGACAGAGAGGCAATGCTCAGTCTCTGTGGAATCCTCCTATTTTGGGGGAAAAAAAAATAAAGCAGTTTCATCTTTGTATTTTCACAAACAATAGTAAGAGTCATGTATTTTTCTTAAGAGTCTCAGAACTACTAGCTAATTATAAACATTCCAAACCCGGCACTAGGAGCCAAAACCACTAGGAAAACAGCTCTCAAATTTAGTCTCAGGACTCCTTCACACTTTAAAAATCACTGAGGACCTCAGAGAACAAGAGAGAGAGAGAGAGAGAAAGGGATAGAAAGTGTCTTTGAGGAGGTAATTGCTGAAAACTTCCCCAATCTGGGGAAGGAGATAGTCTCTCAGGTGATGGAGATGCACAGATCTTCCAACACAAGAGACCCAAGGAAGATAACACAAGACATAGTAATTAAAATGGCAAAGATCAAGCATAAGGACAGACTATTAAAAGCAGCCAGAGAGATAAATAAGACCACATACAAAGGAAAGCCCTTCAGGCTAACATCAGACTTCTCAGCAGAAACCTTAAAGGCCAGAAGGGAGTGTATTTAATGCATGATGTATTTAATGCAAAGAAGCAGAAGGGCCTGGAACCAAGATTACTTTATCCAGCAAGATTATCATTTAAATTTGAAGGAGGGATTAAATAATTTCCAGATAAGCAAAAGCTGAGAGAATTTACCTCCCACAAACCATCTCTACATGTATCTTGGAGAGACAGCTATAGATAGAAGTGTTCCTAAGGTTTAATCGCTGTCACCACAGGTAATAAAACCACAGTAAAGAAAGTAGAACAGCTAATTACTAAGCAAATGCAAAATTAAAGTAACTATCCCCAAAGTCAATCAAAGGATAGACAAAGAGTACAGAATATGATACCTATATATACAGAATGGAGGAGGAAGAAAAAGGAGGAGAAAACGAAAAGAAACCTTAGATTGTGTTTGTAATAGCATATTAAGTGAGTTAAGTTAGACTCTGAGATTATAAGGAAGTTAATATTGAACCTTTGGTAACCACAAATCTAAAGTCTGCAATTGCAATAAGTACATACCTATTAATAATCACCCTAAATATGGATATATGCTGCCTATAAGAGACTCATTTCAAACCCAAAGACATACAGACTAAAAGTGAAGGGATGGAAAAAAGATATTTCATGCAACTAATAGAGAGAAAAAAGCAGAAGGTGCAGTACTTGTATCAGACAAAATAGACTTCAAAACAAAGAAAGTCACAAGAGACAAAGAAGGACATTACATAATGATAAAGGGGTCAATCCAACAAGAAGATATAACCATTATAAATGTATATGCACCCAACACAGGAGCACCTACATATGTGAAACAAATACTGACTGAATTAAAAGGGGAAATAGAATGCAATGCATTCATTCTTGGAGACTTAATGCTCCACTCATTCTGAAGTACAGATCAACCAGAAAGAAAATAAGTAAGGACACAGAGGCACTGAACAACACATTAGAAAAGGCGGACCTAACAGACATCTACAGAACTCTACACCCAAAAGCAGCAGGATACACATTCTTCTCAAGTGCACATGGAACATTTTCAGAATAGATCGTATACTAGGACACAAAAAGAGCCTCAGTAAATTCCAAAAGATTGAAATTGTGCCAACCAGTTTCTCAGACCACAAAGGAATGAAACTAGAAATAAATTACACAAAGAAAATGAAAAATCTCACAAACACATGGAGGCTTCACATGCTCCTAAATAACCAATGGATCAATGACCAAATAAAAACAGAGATCAAGCAATATATGGAGACAAATGACAACAATGATTCAACACTGCAAAATCTGTGGGATGCAGCCAAGGCCATGCTAAGAGGAAAGTATATTGCAATACAGGACTACCTCAGAAATGAAGAACAATTCCATATAAGCAGTCTAAACTCACAACTAATGTAACTAGGAAAAGAAGAACAAATGAGGTCCAAAGTCAGTAGAAGGAGGGACATAATAAGGATTAGAGCAGAAATAAATAAAATTGAGAAGAATAAAAAAAACAATAGAAAGAATCAATGAAAGCAAGACCTGGTTCTTCAAGAAAATAAACAAAATAAATAAACCCCTAGCCAGACTTATCAAGAAAAAAAGAGAGTCTACACACATAAACAGAATCAGAAATGAGAAAGAAAAATTCACTATGGACACCACAGAAATACAAAGAATTATTAGAGAATACTATGAAAAATTATATGCTAACAAACTGGATAATCTAGAAGAGATGGACAACTTTCAAGAAAAATATAACCTTCTAAGGCTGACCAAGGAAGAAACAGAAAATCTGAACAGACCAATTATCAGCAATGAAATTGAACTGGTAATCAAAAAACTACCTAAGTACAAAACTCCTGGACCAGATGGCTTCCTGCTGAATTTTATCAAACATTTAGTGAAGGCATAATACCCATTCTCCTTAAAGTTTTCCAGAAAAATAGAAGAGGAGGGAGTACTTCCAAACTCATTCTATGAGGCCAGTATCACTCTAATACCAAAACCAGGCAAAGACACCACAAAAAAAGAAAATTCAGACCAATATCCTTGATGAACATATATGCAAAAATACTTGACAAAATACTAGCAAACCGAATTCAAAAAAACATCAAAAATATCATCCATCATGATCAAGTTGGATTTATGCCAGGGATGCAAAGATGGTACAACATTCAAAAATCCATCAGCATCATCCACCACATTAACAAAAAAGGGAAGGACAAAAACCACATGATCATCTCCATAGATGCTGAAAAACATTCGACAAAATTCAACATCCATTCATGATAAAAACTCTCAAAAAAATGGGTATGGAAGGCAAGTACCTCAACATGATAAAGGCTATATATGACAAACCCACAGCCAACATTTTACTTAACAGCAAGAAGCTGAAAGCTTTTCCTTTAAGATTGGGAACAAGACAAGAATGTTCACTTTCTCCACTTCTTTTCAACATAGTACTGGAGGTCCTAGCCATGGCAATCAGACAACACAAAGAAATAAAAGGCATCCAGATTGGCAAGGAAGAAGTTAAACTGTCCCTGTTTGCAGATGACATGATATTGTACATAAAAATCCCTAAAGAATCCACTCCAAAACTACTAGATCTAATATCTGAATTCATCAAAGTTGCAGTATACAAAATTAATATGCAGAAATCTGTGGCATTCCTATACATTAACAATGAACTATCAGAGACAGAAATCAGGAAAGCAATTACATTCACAATTGCATCAAAAAGAATAAATACCTAGGAATAAACCTAATCAAGGAGGTGAAAGATCTATACCCTGAAAACTACAAGACACTCATGAGAGAAATTAAAGAAGATACCAATAAATAGAAACACATCCATGCTCATGGATAGGAAAAATTAATATTGTCAAAATGGCCATTCTGCCTAAAGTAATCTACAGATTCAATGCAATTCCTATCAAAATACCAACAGCATTCTTGAACAAACTACAGAAAATTGTCCTAAAATTCATATGGAACCACAAAATACCTTGAATAGCCAAAGCAATTCTGAGAAGGAAGAATAAAGCAGGGGGAATTATGCTCCCCAACTTCAAGCTCTACTAGAAAGCCACAGTAATGAAGACATTTTGGTACTGGCACAAGAACAGACCCATAGACCAATGGAACAGACCAGAGAGCCCTGATATAAACCCAACCATATATGGTCAATTAATATATGATAAAGGAGCCAGGGACATACAATGGGGAAATGACAGCCTCTTCAACAGCTGGTGTTGGCAAAACTGGACAGCTACATGCAAGAGAATGAAACTGGATTATTGTTTAACCCCATACACAAAAGTAAACTCGAAATGGATTAAAGACTTGAATGTAAGTCATGAAACCTCTTAGAAGAACAACATAAGCAAACATCTCCTGAATATAAGCATGAACAACTTCTCTCTGAACGCATCTCCTCGAGAAAGGGAAACAAAAGCAAAAATGAACTCATGGGACTACATCAAGCTAAAAAGTTTCTGTATGGCAAAGGACATCATCAACAAAACAAAAAGGCATCCTATAGTATAGGAGAACATATTTGTA